GTTTGGAAGTTATATAAAACTTGCATCCCAAGTGTGCTCTGTTCCTTTTCTATTTCTGTGTCTGGTTTGGAGGGGCGTAGATCTCGGGGTGTTTCCCGAGGGAAGAAGCGACGGCAGAAAACACACTAAAGAACAAGCTGCGTCTAATTAAGTTCAGGCGAGATCTGAAAGAAAAAAACGAAGATTTTCAAGTTCATCACTTGACGTTACTTGTAAAGAGATTGGAGGGTGACTTGTCGCAAATTTGCTTCCTTCTTTTCCTCCTTCAAGTTTGTCCCTTTCTAGTGAGGTAATCGGTTTAGAGCCTCTTCTCCATTGCTGGGTCCCGAAACCAATTTTTTTTCATATATCCCGTTAATTTCTGTTCCCATATCACAATCTTAGCATTTGTATGGATTTAACCGAAGTTAAATCATGCATCTTTGCATGAAAGCCATGCTTTATCGATTGCAAAGCTGATTCTTCTTCATAAAAGGTAACTTTGTTCTATCTCTGAACCTCAATACTTCTCATTGGTCTCTCCTCTTCTGAAGATTAGTGGGTGTTGCTTCGATTTCGAAAGAGTATGAGGAAAAATGCTAATTCTCATTCAGGAAGGATATTTAGTGATAGGAAATGGATTATACCATTTTTTGCCAGTTTGCTCGTGTCTGTTAGTCTGGTTCTCACAGCTATTCTTGGGGCGCTTAGTTCTTCTAACGTGGGAGAGCAATCGACGTTTGACATCATTTCATTTGCAAGATCAGAGGATTCAAGTGGGTATTTTGTGGAATCGGATTTGGATAGATCGTCGCGTGCTAATAAGGTTCGAAAAATGGAGGAGGCAGCTAGGTTTGCTTATCTTATTTCAGGAACGAAAGGTGATAGTCAAAGGATGATGAGGACTTTAGAGGCAGTATACCACCCAAGAAACCAATATGTTTTGCATCTGGATCTTGAGGCTCCACCCCGCGAGAGATTGGAATTGGCAACTGCAGTGAAAGCTGATCCTACATTTCGTGAAGTGGAGAATGTTCGTGTTATGTCTCAATCCAATCTGGTGACTTATAAAGGTCCCACTATGATTGCTTGCACCCTTCAAGCTATTGCAATATTATTGAAAGAGAGCTCAGAGTGGGACTGGTTTATAAACCTTAGTGCTTCAGATTATCCTCTTGTGACACAGGATGGTTAGTCACAAACCCCTCCTCTCTGTCTGCTTTATATGCTATTAAAGTAACTCTTGTCAAAAGTCTTGAGTATGGACGCATGCTTTTGGAGTTGTTTTGAAAACTTGAAACTCAGTCCTCGTTTGGGTGTGTCTTGCAGGTGATAGGTAGGTTTGTAAATGTGTTCAAATGTTGTTTGCCTGGAACATCGAGCTCATCTTTGTATCTTCCCCTAAGCATTTATTTGATCAATTTACACTTGATTTAAAACTAAGAAAGTTTATTGAACTTAATCTGTATCCTGATTTTTGTGGATTTATATGGAAGATGGATGTCTAGATAACATGTAACAGTTGGAACAAGTGATGATTGGATTAGCGGGTTATAGATTGTTTGAATGAATATTCTTCACTTGTAATTTACACTGTTTTCAAGAGTGAAGACTTCAGGTAGTTTAGTGTAATCTGGCTTGCAATTTAGTTGCTTTGCTGTAGCTATTTCAACTAATTTATTTCTATCAGAGCTTGCAAATATGTTCATCCTACCTTAAAAACTATTTTGTTGATTAGTTCAGGAGTAAGCCATGACCCAAAAGTAAGACAGAATTGAGCTAGCTCATGTTACGCTTGTGTTGTTCCTAACAGTGATATACAGTCTATGCTACCATTTAGGCTATTTTGATAGTTTGAAAGCAGACTTCACAGAAGAATTTTACTTGCCGGATATTTTTGTTGTTATATGAGCTAAAAAAAAAAAAACAAATGTAGCTCAAAAAGTTGTCTAACAAAGATGAATAAAAACTTTAATGTCAGAATTGAAAATCTTATTGCTAGTTAAAGATAATACCAATATCTCTGCATGGTTCTATGTTTGTTGGAGTTCCTCCATTTGCACTTCATGTACTTGAGAGGAGTGATATAAAGTATAACTGGTGGGAACTGGGAAGTGAAAAGATGGAGCATGGCTAGGTATTTGAATGCTATATATCTGATGCATTTCCACTTTTCACCTTCCTTGGTTGCTTCTTCCAAGCATACCCTTACTTCTATCAAGCTTAACACCTGCTGGAGTGCATTTAGGAGCTGCACTTCTTCATCAGATACCTTTGTTTAAGGGGTGTTATATTTTTTTTTCCTTAACTTTCGATTCCACAAAAATCTTTTGATGGTTACTTTTTGGATAGGGATGTCAATAAAATCAATAAATTCTTTCTATATTAGTTTTGGCCCCAATAAAATTCCTATTCCCTACATATAAGATCATGTTGGGGTATTTTATGGCCAATATCTTATAATGTTTTGGCATTTAGATATATTGCGCTGCAAATAAGTACAGATTTCCTGTTCGCACAAGTCAAGATTCACATGGCTCATTCCTATCATTGGATTTGGTCTGTATTAATTCATTTGAACATTCTAGGAGCTTATTTCGTGATAAGAATATTACTATCTGATAAGCCTAATTAAGGGGCCAAGAGTATCGCATATATGGGCTGTGGGGTGTAGGGGAGAGAGAGAAGGGGATGATGGTGGGTGAAACTAGAATGGGCTCAATGGTAACTAAGGCTTGGCTCTGCTTGCTGAACTCGTCTTTTAATTCTTCTGTAATTTAGGTTGGTTTTGCTCAGTGGTAAAATGAGAATATGTTTTGATGAAGGAAGATGGAGTGTGGTTCTTTTATATGCAGAAGGAAGCTTAAGATTCTTAAGTTGCTGAAACTAGAAAATGACTAAAGATAAGGAGAAAAGCCTGGGGCTGAAAGCATTGTGTAGGTGGTTTTGGTGGCTTAGAAGCCCAGGTTTTAATGGGGTTTTAGGCAAAAATGTGTATTGTGAGGAACAGACTCTTACCTCCTGAATGCTAGGAAACCGGTATGAGTGTTTGTGTGTTTTCTATCGTATCCCTTATTTTCTTTGTAGTTTTCTGGTTAGACCTACACTCTGCCAGATTCTTACTAGTCTTAACATTCACTTTAAACTTGGGTTCCATCAATATCCTTCTTCACTTAAATCAATGAGGGATTATAATTTGGTTTTATTTTGTCTTTTCCATTCAATTTGGAAAATTTGGAAACTCTCTTATTTGCTTTAAATATAATCCATCTCCTTGAAAATATTTGATCACTCATGAGTTTATCTTCTAATATGAAGCATCATTCTTTTACACTCCCCTCTTTTTATTTGCCACACTGCTTTGTAGCAGTAATATATAATTAAAGAGTTCTGAAGGTTTTCCCTTTCGTTTCCCTGGTTTTTTTGTTTGATTTTAAGGTTCAATAAATGAGTGGGAAAATGTGGTGCTTTTCCCCAGTGCATTGTGTTGGAGGTGGTATTGGCAATTTTGACCTATTATTATTGTACATTAAGTTTGATGCTTGATCTTTGCGTAGTGTTGGTCCACCAAAAAAGAAAAAAAATCTTTCAATAGCAGAATGCTCTTGTATTTTCTTCCAAAAGGGGGGAAAACGGTTGCCTATATTCTGACATCATTTTTAATTGGTGAGGTGATTATAATGGATGTCAATATGGATGAGATGGCAGGACTAAATATTTGAGAACTACGTACTGAAATTCTTTTCATTTTCTTGTTACATTAATGGTATTTTCTCAGCTGTTTTTAGCTTTATGTAATTCTTCATGACCCTTCAAAATGTCCTTCTGAAGTAATCTGAGATTTATTTTCTGGTTTTGCAGATTTGCTTCATATTTTTTCTAATCTGTCTAGAGAGATCAATTTCATTGAACATACTCGTATTGCCGGTTGGAAACTGTAAGAAAGTTATCACTGTTTGAATCATACAATAAAGTTGGTGCTTTTCTTCCCATTGCTCCAGCATATCGGTTTACCAAGCTTTTCTATTTCTTTTTCCTGCTTGTATGTATCTTCAGCAACCATAGAGCAAGACCGATCATCATCGATCCAGCCCTTTACTTATCAAAGAAATCTGATATTGCATGGACGACTCAACGAAGAACACTTCCCACCTCGTTTAAGTTATTTACAGGTGCATTTATATCAAAGACTCCACATATATTGATTGGTCAATTGTCCGTTATAAACCAACACTGTAGAGTCCTCTTCTTAAGTTATCACTGCATGAAAAGCGGCTTCAAACATGAACAAGTGGCTGCTTTTGTTTATGCTAGATTTTTGTATGAGCAGCTTTTGTGTATGCTTCTGTGCACAGGTTCAGCTTGGGTTCTGCTGACACGGTCTTTCTTGGAATACTGCATATGGGGCTGGGATAACCTTCCAAGGACAATTCTGATGTATTATACAAATTTTATCTCTTCTCCAGAGGGCTATTTCCACACTGTCATTTGTAACACTGAGGAATTCCAGCACACAGTTGTAAGTCATGATCTTCACTACATAGCATGGGACACACCACCAAAGCAGCACCCTATCTCCTTAACTATGAAGGACTTCAACAAAATGGTTCAAAGCAAGGCTCCTTTTGCACGGAAGTTTGCAAAGGACGATCCAGTCCTCGACAAGATTGACAAAGAGCTTCTGGGACGCACGCATAGATTTTCGCCTGGAGCATGGTGTATTGGCAACTCAACAGGAGGTGCTGACCCTTGTTCTTTTCGAGGTAATAATACTGTGCTCAGGCCAGGCCCTGGTGCTGAGAGGCTTCGTGAATTATTTCAAACTCTGTTATCTGAAGATTTCAAAAGCAAGCAGTGTTCTTGAGGATTTAACAATCCAATTAGGATGATAATCACAAGTGTAAATAGGTGGTTATAGGATTCATTGATTCCAAAGGCCGGTATTTTGTGCTCAATATATCAAACATTCAAAGATCAAAGTTAGAAGCAAAAAGCATTATGAGCAGCAATTTTTCAGGTGCTTGTTTTATCTTGGTAAAAACCATTTTTTTGGTTGTCATTGCAATCATTAGCCAGTCTTTAAGGCAATTTACAACACCTATCGTTCATGGGTGACGAAGAAATTAATGTCACTTGGCATATAGCCAGTGATCACGAGATCACATTCTATTACCAGAAATTAAAGAGGTGTATTTTTCCATGACCATTTCTGGAGAAAAATCAGTGAAATATCCCCTCTCTACATCCAAACCCTCTTCAGCAGCCAGCATCTCAACTCGGTTCTGCACCCTGTCGGCTCCAATCTGGTTTGGCTCCAGCAGCATGCAGGCTATTTCAGTCGAGTCTTCGCCATGAACAAGCCCCAGTGTTTGAACTGTTGGTAGTCCACCACCACGAGCACTAACCATCTTTGCAATCCTCCTTGTTGCTGCTACATCCGTGGACAAAATGGGTATGTTGTAGAGAGCCACCCAAGGGCGTGCACCGATCATGGAGATGCCTTTGGCTTTTGAAACCATGATTGGTCCTTCCTCAGGGTTCTGCGGAAGAATCTCGGGCATAGTCCATCCTGCCCATTGGCTTCCCATGAAATTAGGCCTGTAATACCCTAGCTCTCTTCTGATAGTGTCCAAGGGTTTTCCTGTTGGATGTGCTGCAGCATACAAAAAGACTGGCACTGCATTTCCCAGGGAAAAAAAGGTTAAAATTTTTCTAGCTATACTAACAAAAACACCCGTAGAAAATGTTCAAAATATAAATACCATCATCAACATGCAATGAGAGCTATAATGGGTTGAGTACATCGGACACTGACTATTGAATCGGTTGCCAATGTCAGCAGCTACTGCTTTAGCAAGCCAGGCAGCTTCATCCAGTGAGGCACGACCAAGAGGGTGGAACAAAATGTCATCCACGACGCCTAATCTTGGATGAGCCCCGTCATGGGATTCAAGGTTGATGGAGTTGAATGCAGCCTCTGCCATGGCTATCACCGTTTGGTGCAAGGGGCTATATATAGCATTTCCTGTACAGTCATCAAGAACGTAAGATACAAGAGTGTACCTTGTTCTGTTGTAGGCTCTATCGTCACATTTGGTCACGATCACGGTTTCTGTGTTTGCCATCGCGGCTCCTTCAATGGCGTCAAGGGTTGCACTGTTTCGTGCTTCAGAGATGAACATCTTGCAGCATAGTAGCATCGACTGGTACGCGGCTTTCTTTTCCTAACAAGTCAGAAATGGTCCAACCAAAAAGGCAAAAACTTTTACACGCTGAGGATAGGTTCGACTCGTCTTACATAACATGATGCTCTGTCCTCTCTATGATCATTGCAACCTTATATACTTGCAGTGGTTGTGTTACGACAGATATATCGAAAATTGCATTGAAAAATACGATTTTGTTTACGATTTTCTCAGCGATGTCTGTTTCCGAGTATGTCATTTTGATTTTCAAAACCGAACTAACCAAAGCAAAAAAAATCAGATTGTTTGAGCGCGTCACATGTTAAAGTATCCCCAGAATCTTCTGGATGTAATCACCGCGTGTTGCTGGTGCCATTCAGTTTCACCTAGCTTTTGTCAGTTAATTAACGCACTTGAAGACTGAAAGATTTCAACAGAACTACGGTACAAAAGCAAAATGAAAACAGTTCTTTCCGGCCTCAGTTAAAAAAAACAGTGAAAACATGACTTTCAAGTTCATTCCTTGAAAAAGGAAAGAAACAAATTTTGCCAGAGACACGCTGATTGAAAAATGTCTTTTGTATGAAAGAAAAAACTAACGATCATTGGTTGAGCCATGTCTTCAATTCAGTGGAGAAACGATAGACCAACTACACCCCAAACATGAGAATTATCAGCAATTTTTGCGTTACATTCTTTCACTGACACTAAGAACTCCAGAACACTATTAAGGATTAATTCACTGTCCATCCACTTTTTGCTTCCTGTCCTTAATACTTGGATTATTCAAAGATCATTTCAGCCAATGAAACCCAGAAAGATTTCATTGCAGAGGCATAAACCGGAACAGGAACAAGGAGATCCTTGCAAGTATAATCCGGAGTTGCATTATATGAATTGACACCAGAAATTAGTGACAGTTACATCAGATTGGAAGGTAAGAAGTGAGAATCAAAGAAGTGGGAATAGATTTTCTGACCTTGCAAGTGGGATGGAAATCCATTGGTTGATTCAGCAAGGTGTGGTATCTCTTTCTGAAAACGCCGCGTCACGAGAAGTCCAAAAAATTGAGAAGGCACACAGATTTGTGATTTGCAGTGGTAGTTGACTAATAAATAAGTACCTGGTGACTCAGCTTTCATCAGCGGATAGCAACGAGCATACAGGCGAAAGGCCCTGAAGCAGTGCATTCTCAGACTCTCGGAAAATCGTTTAATGTAATTACTAATTAACGTGAGTCCCGTGTATTGACAAATGAAATTATTAAAATTTTCAATGTTAGTAGTACTATATTATAGTTGGAGAAAAGCACTGTACCTGATTGGTTCCGGAAAGTGTGCAGACTCGGCAGTTATTTTTTTAAAAATATTTTGCTCCTAAAATCTTATTTTAAAAAATTCGAAATAAAAATAGTTTTATTCTTCTTAATAAAATATAGCATGCATTTAAATTAGTAAAATTATTTTAATAAAAACAATTAATTAAATCACTTAAAATATGAAATAAATTTATATGCTTTAAGAAATATTCATAAGGATGGGAGTTTAATTTTAATTAAATTTTTTTTTCTTTTTTCTTTTTGGGGGATTGCTTGAACGTGAATGGACAGATTTGCACGTACCGAAAATGAACAGAGGTGAACACGCTTGCTCATCCGCTGCTTCGGCGTGAATCACATGTTGCTATCCTTATATTTTTAACATATTTTTATTTAATCAAATCAAAATTTTAACATATTAAAAATATAAATAACAATAATTTGTTATAAAGTAAATAATATATGAAATGTTCACAAGTCTTGATTTAATTAAGGATTAAGATTTTAAATATAAATATTAAGCATATAAATTTTTCTTAATTTTAATAATTGATCTCCTTTGGATATTTAAAGTTGTTGGATTTTGAAATCCTTTTCAATAATCACTGGTAATTGGTAAATAATGATTGACAAGTGTAATCTAGTCCAGGGCTCCCATTTGGCACTGCAAGCTTATTACTACGATCAGATTTCAACTGTTTAATTCCATGTAAATTTAAGATTTTAAGTTTATATTTTTAAATAATAAATTTAACTTTTAAAAATTTATTTTTATTTCAAATTATATATTTATTAAAATAAAAAATATTTAAAATATAATAATTAAATTAAGTTTTCACAGTCTCTTCATAGTTGATGCGTGGTGCACGGGAGGAACAATTGGGAAGAAGGAATTTAAATATAACTTTAATTTACTAGAAAGATCTTGATCCTTTTTCTCAAATAGTCTTTTCTCAGGGTTCTTCTTTCGAATTTCCACTTTTATGTAATTAAATGCATGCCAGCAAGATGCGCAAATCTAACCAAATATCTAGGGAAAATGTCCTCAGATGTCATTTTGCCATGACGCATCTCTTGAGGCCAAACTAAAATGTAGTACTCCGTAGTCCGCAGGTCTATTCTAGTTCTGTTGAGCTTTCAGACCTGCTTTAAATAAGCATTTTTAAAAAAAGGAAAAAGAAAAATGAAAAAAGATAGGGCAGCTTTGATGGGCATGTTAGGGTAGTGTAGGTTATTTATCACATAAATCCCAACTAGATTATTAAAGATTTGAAAGAGCCTTAAAGAGTTATTTACTTATCCACAATCCACAATTTTAAAGGAGACTCCACAAGATTGTAAAAGCCAACTTTGTTAAGACTTTGCTGGTCCTTTTTAGGGCTTCTGCCCTTCACTTTGTATCCCAAAAACATTAATGACAAGTAGTGCTGCAAAACATCATATTTTTCGTTTATAAAAAAATATTATATTTTTCACGTAATGAAGAGTCATTATCAACTGTTGGAATTTTTTGAAATTACAAGAATGACAGTATATAATTAAAAAAATTGAGCCAGACGCTGTCCAAATCCGGACACTTGGTTTTCTCTCATTTACTTTTTTACTCCACTGTCTCTGAAAATCTGAATCATTAAAATTAAATTTATATTTTTAAAAATTATAAAATTATAAATTTTAAATTTTAAATTTAATTTAACAGTCTACATTCATATTAGTTTCTCTTTTGCTCTCGTTTACAAAAGAGAAAATTCAGCTCCACAATTACATTCCCGCATCTCTTTCCAGTCAGTAAAAACTTGGCATGTTAACAGATTCACAACAGGCACTGACATGATGAACAGATGAAGTAAGCTGCTGGCCTTTCACACTTGGAATGCGGAATGAAAGCTGTTAAGACTTTCTCTCGCTTACCAGCTGGAACTAAGCCAGGACCATTCTATTTTGTTCGAAATGTCTTTTAATTTTTTGTTTTTTGGAGTTAAGGTCAAAAACATTTTTTTTTTTTGAGAGAAGTGTAACTTTTATTTGAAGCAATATTTGCTTCACAACTTCAAAAAAATAAAAAAGTGTAATTTTATTCTACCGTTAACTCTCATAAACATTGGCCATTAAACATAAGATTAACACGTGTCAAATGCTCAGGGGTTCTTATTCTTCCTCTTCTTTCAGCAGCCTAGTCTTCTCATGCACATCCTTCACCTCCAATTCCTGCAATTCATGGTCAAAGCAAGGGTTTTTCCCACAAGCAGGAAAACAACGAGATTCAAGGCGAATGCGCGCACAGAATTGGATCCAAAGATCACAAAATCGAAATGGAAGCTAGAAGTCTCCTTCAACATGCGGTACTCTATCAAGATCCATGGCGCCGACAAGAAGACGAAACAACAAGGAGCAACTTAGTACAAGGAAGTGATGAGATTTAAGGAGATCAAACCGTAGAAGGAATTGTTCATGAGAATGAAAATTTCTAGCCTTCCTCCTTTACACAAATCCTTTGAAACCATCTTGGTGAAATGATTAAGCATGTTGAATTTCCCGTTCATGCCCAGATTTTCCGGCAAGATGAACGAGAAGTCGTTCTCCCAAACTTGAAGAACTTCCAAATGTGTAAGGTCGTCGATGAATGATTGGTAAGAGTCACAGTTCTGGTACCTTCCATGTGCATCACCAGAATGAAGTATGAAATGGAAAGGAAAGAAATCTTTTTTTTTGGGATAAACTAAAAGGAAAGAAATATGAAAGAACTAACAAATTTAAAAGCGCTGATCAACTGAAAGACATGCGTTGGCCCAAACACTCACTAGCTCGATCCGACAGAAGTCAAGTCAAGGGAGTTTCCCTTCTCCATTAACACCACAGTCCCTTGAATTTGTTTGTTCTTGTTGCAGCCTAAGAAACTAAACAACATTTTACCTTGTTCACTTGAAGACATTGAACAACTAAAGGAATTAAACTGCAGGTGGAAGAAGACTCAGTCACAGGTGGTAAGTTGATAAGGTTCAGTGGGCATTGAGAGAGAGAGAGAGAGAGAGAGAGAGAGATGGTAAACGGGCGGTTCCGGTTACCCTTATTTTACCTTAAAACTAAAGCCCGGCCCTTATTCATAGGGCTCAGGGCCGAGATAAGAATAAAATAAAATAAAATAAAATTCAACATTAAAATTTATTTAGAATATTTTAAAATTTAACATATATCAAACCAAAGTCTCACATAATCTAAAAAATAAACACAAAATTTAAAAGTCCAAATAAGATGAAGGCAAACATCATCATCAATTCTAATCAAGATCTCCTCATTATCATCCATAAATAAAATATTAAAACCCTCAGGTCCACTTGTGAAAGATGAGGCGGAAGCTCAATATTAATTATTTCTGTAGCTTCTTCATTATCACCTACAATAATTATTAATTAAATTATTTTATTATCAAATATATATCTATACATATATCAGAAGATAAAATATAAAAATTACTATAAAATGGCACAAAACAATTCAACCAATTGCTGGTATAAAATACAAATCAATGTTTGCACATTATCTGAAAAGAGGTAAAAACAATAATTTATGAATAGTAAAACGGGCTTCACGGTTGCCCGGGCCCGAACCCATTTTTTAGGGCTTAAAAGGGCCTGACTTCGAAGTCCGATTACCTTAAAAAATGTCAAATTTTTAAGCCCTAATCCTTATTAAAACAAACTTAAACGGGTGGCCCGTCAAACCCAGCCCTTATTCTCGACTTTAGAGGGAGAGTTTAAATGATTGATGAGGAAAAAGAACCATTCAGCATATGAAATGTGCCAACCTTGTGATCAGATGAATTATTTTAATGGTCAACATTTATTGGGGTTAAAGGTGAGATAAAATTACATCTTTTTTAAATTTCGAGATAATGTTACTCCAAATAAAACTTTAAAACATTTTCACTTTTTAACCTTTTTTTTCTGTCTATTGATGAAGAACGACAAAGCTGCATTGACAATCTGTGATGGACGATGTGCAGATATTTTAAGTAAAACAGAACAATATATGGATGCGGTTGGAATCATCTCCACCTAATAGACACAAAAACTCAGAAACTGGCTGCTTGGCAGTGACATGGAATAATTACAAGCCAGATTTTTTTAAAAAAAATAAAAAATTAGATGAACTCTTCACAGATAAAATACTAGAACCACAGATATTTTCTCCTATCCAAAACGTCAAGAAGGCAATTTACGTATCCGAATTCTTCAATATCTTTTATACACAATATATCTCATCTCGAACTTTGTTCTTTTATTCAGATGGACAAGAAGGCAAATGATGCATCTCAACGACCCTCTAAATACCATATATCTTCTTTACCCCCCCCCCCCCACAAAAAAAAAAAAAAACCATATGTCTTACCTCAATGAAATTACATGCTGCAAACTAGCCAATAGTCTAAATAACTTCTGTGTTCACTGGAATGATCGACGGAATGGGGATAGCCTGTCATAATTTGGACTACAATAATTCTAGAATGATTTCACAAAATCTCAGATCTATCCTACACGTGAGAAAAGTTGTCTTTTATCATGAAAAATCCTTGGCAAATCCTGTATACAAGAAACAAGGGTTCTTTGGCATCTCGTTCCCTCCTCAGTCAAATGGACCTAACTTCAAGTAACTTCGAATTATTTCTCCCTGTGAGAAGTCTGTAAAGTAGCCCTTCCCCACAGAAATACCCTCTTCCCTAGCAAGGCTCTCAACTTCTTCTTGTACTCTGTCTCCCCCAATTCTACTTGGATCCAACAAATTACAGGCTACCTCAATGACACCTTTACCACGTTCTAGTGCCATTGCCTGTACAGTGGGAAGTCCACCACCTCTCCCACTAACTCTTTTTGCAATTCTACGAACAGCACTGATATTAGAAGATAGCAGAGGGACATTATAGTTATCAACCCATTTGGTTGCCCCAATGACCACAACACCTTTTGATGGAGAAAGTTGAGATGGTCCACTATCTGGCTTCAGCGTCAAGGAATTTGATTTTGGCCCTCCAATCCACTGGTTTCCACTGGAATTCGGCTTGAAATATCCTAAAGCTCTTCTAATTGAATCAAGCGGCCTCCCCTTTTCATGTGCTGCACCGTATAGAAAAGTAGGAACTGCAAGGAAGTTATATGATCAGTCAAAGTAACAACTCCAGAAATACAAGTTCGGAGAGATGGTTGACATATTAAAATAGCTCCATAATCACTTTTATCAATGAATCAGCTTGTGTTGTGAGATCCAACCCCCTATGAGAACCCATAATGCTTTACCTAGGGTAGGTCAAACTATCAACTTAACAGAAGGGGGTGAATTTCTCAAATTTAAGAGATTGGCAAAACATCATTGATTCCATACACTAAATGAATAGTGATCTAAAAGATAAACTCTGACTAAAGGACAATTGCTCAACTTCTAACATCTTCCATTTTTGTAGTTTACAAGCCACAAACCAGTGAAATTCAAACAGAAAATGAGTTGTCTTGACCAGGATATTGGACAGCAAAAGAAAGGAGATAACAAATTAAGGAAAATACACAAGTCCCTGTCATCACTAAACAGCCATGGCATATGACAGCAGTCACCGCTCTTGCTGCCTCTTATCAAATAATACATAAGTAAATAGAAATTAAGAAACTAATCAATTTTAAACTATAGGGTGACTACCTACTGCATATATTGATGGCAGCTAAAGCTCCCAGCCATGGATACCAACCTTGCAAGCTGGAGCCCACGTCTCCAGCCAAAAGTCTTGCAGTCTCAGCGGCTTGGTCCAAGGAAGCATCTGCCAGCGGGTGACAACAAATGTGGTCAACAATTCCAAGTCTTGGATGAGTTCCACAATGCATCTCAAAGTCAATGCTGTCAAACGCAGCCTTCACCATGGCAGACACAGCACTCTTCAAGTGGCATGGCTCAGAAGACGGTAAAGGAGATAACTCAGAAACTAGAGTGTAACCAACTCTATTGTAAGCCATATCTTCAAACTTATTGATTATTGGAGCTCGAGGGAAAAGCTTCGCGGCTCGTTCAATAGCCTCCAGTGCGCTCCTGTTTCTGCTTTCTGATATATAAACCTTGCAGCACGCGAGCATCATCTTCAACATTTTCTTTCCAATTGTTACCTGTCAGAGACTGACCAAAAATATAGACTAAGACAACAAAGTGACCACAAGCCTCCATAACCAACCTTATCTCACGTGCTCAAGAAAGATGTTTTTACACAGATTATAGATATAACACCAACAATAACAATCACAGTTAATTTTGCGCAAAGTTACCATACTCAGAGGTGAAGATTTTATTTCAAGGACGCATTAAGCACATTAATACCGTTGGCAAAAAAAAAAGAAGGAAGTTACGCAATACCAACTTAAGCAAAAATCCTATAACTAATCAAATCTCTTTATTAAACGACGACACTCCTTCTCAGTTCTCAAACATCATAGAACCTCCTTCAAAACTCAATATCCTTGGCGTCGGATGAAGATTTTGGATAGCCATCATATTCTAGCTTCACGTGCAGTGAAGAACAAACCATCTTGAACTTGAGCCTCAAACTGTTCATGATTTCTTGTACTTGTAGGTTTTCAGGATCCAAGACCGGATACTTCTCAATCAACTCATCCATCTGCTTGATGGTAAGTTTAACCCTCGCAGAGAAGCAGTTCGGGTCGACCCGGATAGCGGAGCTCCAAACGTCAACACAACCCCTGTAGAACCCAAGCTCTTCGCCAACCTCGAACCCAACTTTGAGACCCACTTGCTTTGCCTCATCCTTGCCAGCGATTAGACCGTCCTTGTAGCCTTCGTCGTAGCCTTGCTTCAGATGAGTTTCTTCCAAGTTAAGGGAGGAATCAAATATGTCATCCATGAATACTGATATCCAAGAACAAAATTCTCAAACAAACTAATTTCGACCTTTCATCGATGACAACCTTCTCGTCCCAGAGATGGTATATCAGTGCGCGCGCGCGAGCGCGTGAAGTCAATTTGCAAAGACGCGAAAATCCTGGCTCGAGAAAGATGAAAAGCTTTACCTGGAATGAATTTTACCAGCCCAAAAACTTGTGTTTGGCATGCAGAGGAATGCACTTATATAAAAAACTTGGCAGGGTCTAAATTTGATAAAATTTTGTTTTTATAATTTTAATAAGTATAAAATTTATAATAAAGATGTTACTGTGATAAAAAATAATTTTTATATATAAAAAACTAGTACAAGTTATTTTTTTAAAAAAATTATACCGTTAGAATCAGTTTTAAATGATCCAGATCTCACCGCAATAACACCATAATCAGTAATAAATTAATAATAATCCAGATTTCATTTCCTTTTTTTTTATTATATTAAATCCAGATTTCATTCTTTGCTGTCCGTAATCAGCAATTTGGATTGCAACTTGCCAGAATACATTAGTTTATTTGATAATTAATTATTTAGCGCAAACAAAATCAACCACCGAAGATGGAGCAACCATGAGACTGTTTTATTGAAGAAGGCAACAAACGGATCCAGAGCTCGAGAGATTCAAAGAGAACAAAGTAGCGAAATGTCAGAAATAACCCTCAATTATACCGGAACCGAATGCGTCATCATTTCGAATCCACTGAGGTCGGCTTTTTTGTATTTATTTATTTATTTATTGTTTTGGGTTCTGGAAAAAGATTCAAAACATCAGCAGAAGGCTAATCTCGGCGGAGCTTGTGGATGACTGGTGTGTGAATCGTCTTCTGGAGCATTAGCGGTGGTGGGCAAGAACAGATTTTCCCATTTTTTCTAGTATTAAGGACACTGTACAATGTCTTCTTAGATAGATGCACCGTTTTTCTTGGATTTCCTTCACGTGTGCTTTGGGTGTAAAAGTGATCAGAAGAAGAAGAAGAAGAAGAAGAAGAAGAAAAGCAGAATCGAAGTGTCATTCCCTAATAGCATCATTAAAGTATCAAATTTTGAACAAAATAAAATTAATAAAAACATAATCCAATTTGGGATGGGGTCATACCTGGTAAATGAAGCTTGAATAATTTGTGGGGAAGAGCAAGCAGAGCTGCGGAGCTGAAGGGCAAATCAAGAGTGCAGGTAGCGAATTTGAGGGAGAAAAGATAGGGTGGGAGGAGTCGCGTTCTGGATGGGATAAGGGGCAAAATAGTAATATGGTCATCCATTTCCTGGAAGAAGAGCCGATTCCCAATTTTTCTGGGGCCACAAGGAAAGCCCATTCTTGCCTAAATGGGCGGAAGCAACTTCCCCCCACGTCCTAAAGCAGCTCACTTGTTATTTTCATTTTCCTTCCCAAGCTAATACACCGGGATAGTTGAGCGCGAAAAATAAAGTTATACTAATAGATTAAGACTTAGTTATTTAACTTTATATTTTTAATATATTCTTATCAAATCAAATCAAATTAAGTAAATGTTAAAATATTAATAATATTAATAATAAAAATTTATTAGAAAAAATAATATGTAAAAGATATATATGTTTTGATTTAATTAAAAACAAACTATTTATTAGATTTGGGCAAAAAAGACAGTCCATTTCAAAAGGCAAATAAAGCACAACTAATCTATAACCTATAAATTTAACAATTGTTTAGTGTTCAAGAACAGTACATTGTTTGTAGCCATTAAGTGCAAGTAATCTCTGAATTTCTTGTTTCTTTATGAGAAGGTGAGTCTGTTTCTATTTATTTATACTTTTCATGTATTTATATTATTTTGTCATCAGGGCATCTGGACAAAGGACACAGTTGAGTAGGAACAGGATGTTACCTCTGTCAAATAATTACGCAAAATAAAATGTTGTCTGCATAGCCCTCTTTAACGTGTTGTATTCCTTTTTTATGAAATATAATTTTTCAAATTCTTGGTTTTTACAAATTATGAAAAGTTAAGGTTAGTTCTATGGAAAAGAAAAGTTTGAATTTCAAATAAAATAAGCCTAACTTTGCATTTTTTAAAAAAGCACTTGCAATTAAGCAACTTTATTAAATCTTAAAACAAAATACTTTAATAAAAATTGACAATTCAAAAAATATTTAATTTATAAATTTGTTGTACTGAAAACAGGCAATCAAGCATGCTCTAGGCCAATGAAAGTAATTTAGTTGCAAATGCAGAAGTATTCAAGCGTGACTGATAACTAGCCAGTAGGTGATTTATGTAGTTTTGGAATTAATCATCTCACAAGATTCATCATCTTCAAGGATTGACTGATAGCTAGCCAAAAGAATTATGTGCCAAAACAGAACTAAGTCTCAGATATGGCAATGAGAAAACCCGCGCAGACGCAATCTCGCAAATTCTCCTGACCTCACTTCGGTGGTTCCACCACGGTCTGCAAAAATTCAGAATTTAGTTAGCAAACAGCATATGTATTATCTATAACACACATGTGGATCCCACAGTGCCTCATATTATGGAATGCTCAAACGTAGTTGTAAAAGTAACAATTTTATGGTATTTATATATTTCTTTTTAGTTATAATAGGTTTATCTTCTTCTTAATAGGTTGCTCTTGGGCAGCGAGCACTCTGCGCACAAAAAAAAAAAAAACAAAACAAAACAAAACAAAAACTTCAGCACTCCGTATAACACTCCCCAAATAACGCCTCCAACTAACATGACACCTTTCTGAGACATTTTGTTCACACCAGTAAATCACGTTTCATGAAATGTAATTTTCATCAGTCTGACCTTTTGAAACATGAAAAATTATCCTATTAATCATATTAATTCCGGATTTCATATGTATGGGGTAGTAAATTGATTATCATATAAAGGAAAACACACGATACTGTCTTAAGAGATTGCTTCCCAAAAACAAAATGTCTTTGATGGCAAGAATACAAAAACAATGACCAACGTTTCTACATAATCATATGATTCCCACTGAAAAATACTATTGCACCTTCGGCATTCAAAGGGAAACCAAACCACAAACATCATCAATGAGACGAATTATCAATGATGTAATTAGTCTCTCATATGAAAGAATTTCCAAACAAGTATGTTTATATTGGCAGTATTCAGGCTATAACACAGTAAGTATTCTGGTATGGTTAATTGAAGGCCAAGAAGGATTCTTTGGACTCACAAAACACAGCTGTTGCATAAGTCAATTATAGCAAATAAATTTGAGATTTGGATAAATTCATGACCAGTCAAGCAGCGTAATTAAAAACTGGAAAAAGAAATTTGTAGCTGGAAGATTGAAAACAAAAATAGAAATACCTCTTCTTTTTTGCCCTTGCCTCTAGTGAAGAACTTGTATCCTCCAAAGAAGAGTAAGCCCCAGCCAGATAAAGAAACAATAACAAACTGCAGGCAAATAGTAACTGGTCAAGAGGTGTACGAACGCGTTTCTATTTTACACAGTAGATGCAATGTAACAAATAGTACTCTCATGCCATGTCAAAATTAATAAATCCTTGGACGTGGAAAGTCTTCAATTACAAAATTAGACATACATGTTCCTCCTTCCACTTAGATGGGTTCATTGGATCTTGCCAACAGTTAACTTTAGGGGGGCCATGGTGATCTGCAAGAATCAAATGACAAAACCATTACATGTACATCAGAACTTTGCACCAACGCAAATTGTAAACTACAACACGAAACAATTTGTTCAACCATTAAAAAGTGTAGAAAGATTAACAGACTACGCATCCCAAGCCATTGAAAAGCAATTGCATAAAGTACATATTCATCGTTACAAAAGCCTCTGATAAGTTGGAGAACAACACCATTTTAGTGGACAGTGCTTCTCTTTTTCACAACTATTTTTTACTTCTGTATGTAGGATGATTTTAATTTATGTACTGTGGTCTTACTCCTTGGACTGTATCCAGAACCTCTGCAATTTAATCATTTTGCTGTTAATATATCTTGACTTGTTTGAAAACAAAAAAGATTTCAACATTAATGCCAAATTCTAATTCCTCAAGTTGTTAAAATGTTCATTAGCACAGAAAGTAAACACACACTAACACTCACCTAAAAAAAAAAAAAAACGTTAGATATATATCCGTTTTCTACTTATTCCCTCATTTCTATGTTTCCTTGTTTTATTACCTCATCATAGGCAAAAGTTACCTTCATGAAAAGGTTCATTTTTCCTCACCGGAAAAAAAAAAAAAAAAACCACCCCAATTTTTACTCTTTTTCTGCGCGAGAAGCGGAGAACGAACCAACTATTTAAGGGTTCCTTTGGGCAATAACATCTGCTACTTGCTAATAACTTAAAAGGCTCCCAGCTCATCTTTCGAATAACGCTAGATTTTGAATCTAATTGTTCTAACAGATTCCTGGTTCAATCACACATATTGTAAGCAGTGGATTATTAAATGTGACTCGTATATCCACATCAACCTTTGAATAAATCAATATCACCAGCCAGAGAATGGCAATAAGTAAGGATCGAAGAGAAAGACTGATTGAGTTTTTCCCTTGATACAACACATTCAATTCTTGGAAGGCAGATTTTTAGTTACCAATAGTACGTCAGGGTGTAGAAAATGCGAAAATCAAAGGGATCTTAGTGATCCCAATCTAATGGCAAATGGAATCAGAGAATAAATGGACAATCTAAAACTAAAATTTACCTGCAGCTCCGGCGAGACCGCGCCTTTGGATAATATTGGCAGTTTGAATCGGAGATCTTGGAGAGGAGTTACGACTCAATGACGCTGCTCGGCGAGCCGCAGCGGCCGCTAGGGTGGCCATAGGTTTCGGCTTGAATATGCGACAGGGAGAAACCGAGAGAGACGAAGGGAAGAAAGACCAGACAGGAGAGCTTCGGGGTCTATAACCACAGGGACAATCACAATCAACCCTGGAGGCAATTAATTATGCTCCCGAAGCAAATGATCGTGATATTATTTTGCAGGTTCAAGGTATATATTTTTATTGTGAAAAAGATAAAAATACTTTATATATATATATATATATATATATGCTTTTTAATAATTCATTTAAAAAAAAGTCACATTTATATTTTAATAACAATCAATTCTTTTATTAGTAATTTTAAAAAATTAACTTAGTGATAATAGAGATAGACATAAGTGTTATGCTTTGATAAATAAGTCTCATTTTTTTTAATTACAATCAATTTTTTTATTAATAATTTCAAAAAAATTTAACTTGGTAGTGAAAAGGAACAACTATAGTGATTTGGTGCACAAGTTCCTGCTCGAAAAAAAAAAAAAGTTTTGTTTTTGTAACCTCTTTCAATATTTACCTGACATTAGGAAGGGTTAACTTAATTACTATAAAGACTGCATTTAAATACTTTGTTTGAAAAGCTTGAATTCAAAACTCGTTTTGAAAATCATTAAAATTTTCAACTAACTCAATACAAAATAAAGCATGGCACAGTCAAAAATAGCCTATGCATTCATTAGAGTCCATACATGTTTTCGAAACAAAGAAATGAAATTAGAAACTAAGCCATACGCCATGACGTGCACCACATGCATCGCGGCATGTGACAAGAGCCACAAGCTGACCTCTCTATGACATGTGCTGCAATGTGATGCGCAATATGCTGCGACGCACATGACAGTTTCTGTTGTTATCATATGATAGTTTGTAAGGCGAACTTCCGAAGTGTATCATTTTCACATACGACATCTAATTGGAATGATTCAAACGCCTATACAAAACTTATTTTATAAGCTAACCAATGAGAGAAGTTTGAATACGACCCAATAATCCAATCAAAATTTAAATATTCAGGTGCAAAAAACTACTTTTTCTAAAAATTTTGCGCATTCAAGCACTCAAATCGTTCACATTATCTCATTAGATCATTATAGGCCTTGAATCAAATTCACGAGAACATAATTCACCTAATTGACTACATTTTATGTCATATATCCACAGATTAAGATTTGATCATTTAACAGCCTATTTTCACAAATATAAATTTCTCAAAAATATCGTCACAATATATTCAAGCTAAAACTCAATCCATTCATTAAATTTCACCACTAACACCTTCACAACATGTTCACAACTTAATTTTAGCCCTTACTCCTCATTTCACCATATATTTACACATAAGGGCTAAGATTTATAAAATTATCACAATTTCACCAAATCATTGCTCTAAACATGCATGTAGATTCCATGGCAACTTTCGTATATAATTTTACACAAAAAAAGTGTTCATTATACAAAACTTAAGAACTTTCACCATAACGGCATGGCTATGTTGATCCTGACTTTTTCCTTGTGACTGGCTCACTAACTTTACTTGTAAAAATATAACCACGAGGTGAAATAATAATTTCAATGATAAAATAACTCTCTACTACTAATTATCACATGCAACTATAAGTAAGTATAACATAATATATAATTAAACACAGCATGCAATGTATGTTTCATTTTAACAAGATTATATTTCACTACTGATCACCACTTTTATAAACCATTTTCTCATCAATTCACAATTAATGACGTATAGCATAATTACTATCATCCAAACCTCTAAATCACCTCGACTTAAAATCATAGGTTCACCTTAGGCTAACACATATGCTCATTGGTCTTGAGTTCACCTTTAGTAGTAGAATCACCTAGCCAAAGGTGTTCTATTTCACTTTCAGACTATGATTTTCCCCTATTACACACAAAGAGGTGCTGTTGACTTCAACACTGCATCACATTGATATTAAGGAGTCTGAATCTCCAACATTGCACCTCAATAAGAACTACAAAGATAATTTTCAACACTACACCTTTATAGGTATTAAGGAGATACAATTCTCCATTACTACACCCCATCAAGTACTCCCTATAATCATATTTTTGTACCCATAATGCGTTCACACTTACAACTATACATGTGTGTGTGTGTGTAAATATAGTATATAACCACATGTTTCTACTCATTTGTTTAGTAAAAATTCATTTTCATGCAATAATCATGTAATATTATAAAACATGCTCAGTTTAAAACAATTACCTCGACCTTTCTGTCACAAAAAAAGTTATCTATGAATTTTCACAATCACTAACGACTTGCTACAAGCTTTCTTTCTCACTCTACATGCAGAATATGTCAATTTACACACAATTGATGCTATTGGTCAATTAACCTAATTGACCAGAAAACACATGCAGAATATGTCAATTTACACACAATTGATGCTATTGGTCAATTAACCTAATTGACCAGAAAACACTTAATTATTAATTAAGGTTATGATTAGCCATCTATTTTTTTTTTACTTAGTCATTCTAGGTTCATTAATACTGAATTACCACTTTCTATCGCTTCTAACAATCTCATTTTGCTTCTACCCTTTGAGTTAGGGCAAATTTAAGCATACAGTTTGAAAACTTTATTGTTCAACTCCAAACCCGTCACAAAATTTTAACTTGGCTCTCGATGACCCTTTTATTATTATTGGGTAAAAAACAAATCCTTTAAATCTTCCTAATTCAATTTCTCTATAACTTATACTAAGAAAAATTATAGTAGAATCGAAGTTAAGGATTATACGAAACTTACCTGATAAGTTACCGGTTGAAAATATCTCTCAAGCTCCAACAAACTCTTTCCCTAGTTAAGACTTCTCTTCTTCCCCATTCCCTCTTGTGTTTCTTTGTTTCCTTCTTCTAATTCATGAGATGACTCCCATACTTACTAGCCAAATTCCGTGGTGCATGGTAGCTTGTGTTGTGACACGTGGCATAGTAAAGAAAATCCTCATCATGCACACACACTTTATTTCGAAATGCAATCACTTCACCTATATTTATTCATTTAACATCTTAATGAGTTAAATCATCAAGTAATCATCTAAATTTATAATCATTTAGTAATTATTAATTCACCATTTATCAATAACTAATTACTGAATTTGAAAATCAGGATGTTACAGTTTTCATTATAATAATAATCAATTTCTTTAGTAACAACTACAAAATATTAATTTGATAGAGAAATTGTTATAATCTAATGAGCAAATTTTTATTTAAAAAAAATAAGTCTCATTTTTATTTTAACAAATATTAATTATATCGTCACAACAAAAATATATCAAGGATAGTTTTATCTTTTCACAATAAATTTTAATTATATTTTGATCATTTAGTCTTGCAAAATTAATATCCAAATTATTTAATCCTGTAGGGTAATTAATTATCTTCAAGGTCCTTGATTGTGCTTTCCCCATGATCAAATGTCCAAAACTCCAAATGCTGGGGCACTGGTGACGAACCCGCCCAAGCCACTGTGATAGACAACGACGTCGTTTTCACACCTGATCACTGATCATACCATTCCATTTATTATTATTGTTTTCCGGGAATTAAGAGCGAAAAATATTAAAACAATTTTAAACGGGTGGGTCTTGGCCAAAATTAATATTATAACAACAACAATTTATCTTAAAATTAATGTTGTAAGTATGAAGCGATATTTTCGGAAATCCGGTCCAGATTGATTGATATCAAGGAATAACAAATAATTGACGATGATGAAAGAAAAAAAATTAACCGTTGGAATCAAAAATGAAAAAAACTTTAATTAGTTTCACCTTTTAAAAATATAAGACATTTTTTTAAGGATCAAATAGCATAAATATTTTTAATATTTTAAAGTATAATTAATATATTTTTAAATATTCATAATAAATAAATTACTTTATATTCACTTTAAAATAAATAAGATCTAATAATTAATTATTTTATTAAAATAAAATTTAATTAAAAATATCTTATATTTTTTGACAAAACGAGTACTTATGGGGCACAAATAAAAAATTAACATGGAGTCATGATTTTCAAAATCAAGAAAGATTTCTTTCAATTAAGAATATTTACAGGACAGGATGGGATTAAAACACCTTTATCCTGTGTCTTGTCCTAAAAAAAATTTTTCGTATCTCATCTCGCTCAAAAGTCATCTCATCCCATTAAAGATTGGGAAGGGATCGAGACAAAATCAGGATGTCCTGCTATCTCGATAAATTGAATAATTTAGGAGAAAAAATTAGATAATAACATTCATTAAAAATTTTAAATCATATGATTTATTAAGTTCAAAATTAAAACAACACAAATACATAAATCATAAAAATTTAAAATTAATTATTAAATTATATTAATCACAACTACACATTATAATAACAGTTAAAAGTGATCTCCATGCTATAAGAATAGTAATAACAGGCAAGTCAAGCACAACATCAAAACATTATTTTTCTACTTTAGTTGAGATGTGTTAAGCTAATTACTCTTTCAAAAATAAAGCAAAAAATACGACATAAATAAAAGTTATTAAATAGATAGATATAAGAATAAATTATATTAATATAATTAATATTTAATGTCTATTTTTAAAATAAAAAATAATATATATATATATATATATATATATTCAGAACGAGGCAGGATGTCCCAATGGTAATTCTGTGTCCCGTCTCATTCACAAAATCCTATCTTGATTTTTTTCAGGTCAGGATGATATTGGAATGATATTGAATCAATTAGGATGAATACAAGCTGAACACCCTTAGGCCTTGTTTGGTACAAAGATATGAATTTTGAGGGATTGGGATTAGGATTGTGGTTGGGATTGGAATTGGGATTAAAATTGGGATTAAGACTTTAAAAATATGTTTGGTATGAAGTAATATTTGGAGGAAATACTTACATTAATTTTTTTTAATTCATCAAAAATGAGCAAAATATCATAATTCCCTTTATTATTAAGAAAAAAATACAGTCATCAAGATGAACAGTGCACAGCTCAGGGGAAGATATGGTGGATTTAGAGCTCTGCACTTTAGATTTGGAGCTTCCCAGGTGGATGCGGAGGAGCTGGAGGAAAGGGCGACAAGTAAGAAGGCAGTAAGAAGACAATCTCGAATGCAAGTCTAACAACAAATTAGATTTGAAAACGTATACATATGCATAGTTAAGGGAGGAAGAAGATGATCCCGTTGCAACCTTTCATCGTCGTTGCTTCTGTTCTTGCTCGCCCATTATCGAATCTGAAAACGTATTGATCTCAAACATCACCCAATTTGAAACAAGAAAATGAATCTTGCTTGCCCATTGTCGTTGCTTTTGTTCGTGCTTCTATTCTTTGCTTTATGATGCCGGTAAAGGAGGAAGTCATCTACAGCAAGAGGAAGTTGTTGATGGTGAGAGGAAGTTGTCGTCGAAATCATCCACGGTGAATTTGTCTGAGCGAAAAATTCCATGGAGAACGAGAGGGGTCAGATCTGGGCATATTTTAGGAGGGCATTTTGGTCAATGATAATTTCAATCTCAGGATTAATTTTGCAATACCAGAGGGATGATGGGTTTGAGTATTCTCACCTAAGTGAGACTAAACAATCCTAAAGATTAGTAAGTGACTCATACCAAACATGTTAAATGTGGAATCACTCAAACCCAATCCCAAACCCAACCCTCCAATGCTGTATATCAAACAGGACCCTACTTTTAATGATCAACTGCTCCTGAGTATAAAAGGTGGGGGATTCAACTTGGATGATATTTTGAGATCATTGCTCATTTGAGCTAAACTGCGTCCTTCCCGAACATCTTTATCGTGATATGAGAATTTGAGTGCTTAAGAGTGTTTTCACTGCCTATCTATTTAAAACCGATATACAGTGAACTATTTTTATAACTATATTAGTTTGAGATGAGTTTTGTAAAAGTCTTGTAATACAAGGATTATTTAGTTCTCGATGTATTTAGCAAAATCCAAAGAATTATAAGTTATAGGTGAGTTGGATGTAAAACATACAAGGATTATAATTAGATTATTATGGTGAAAAAAATACCTTAAATGTTTCTCAAATCAAGGGACTAAATCAATAAGAAATTCTCAAATAAACTAGGTGCATCATGTCATTTGTCAATTAATTTTGACAAATAATAGTAGAAAAAAAGAAAAAAAATTAAATATATTTTATTATAAGAATAAAATTAATTAAAATAATATTACATAAAATTTTAGTTAAATAACTAGAGACATTTTAATTAGATAGATCACAAATGACGTGACATATCTTAAGAATTTCTCCTAAACCAAGGCATAAGTTAGCAGACTGGATCAAGATAATTCTTCTAGTGTCTAATTATCTCCTTTCTTATTTATTATTTATCAGTTGACTATATTGAATTTTTTTTTTTTTGGAGCAGAAGACTATATTGATTTATTTCTCCTATTACAAACACAATGATAGCCAATCTGTCACTGATCACTTTGGATCTCTCTTGGAGCATGCATAATCATGAAGTGAACACAGCACATCATCAATGTACTTGTATTTTGAGTTATCCCCCTTTAAAATGTCCCGTCTTTCGCCGATAAGAAAAATTCAACTGTCAAAGCTCAAGAATAAGTATAATCTTTTAAGAAGTTTCAATTTAATTATTTATCCTATGTGTGGAGCATCAAAAGATATCTAATGTAATGATAATAAGATTATGTGATTATTGACACTGTAAGATTTGAACAACTTTGCTCACATAATCAATTTAGAGTTAGCGGCAAAAATGCTTCAATTTTTTTTTTTAAGTAATACTGGATACCTTACCTTTTAGCGGAAATAATGTCAACCTGAAAATTTTAAAAAAGGTGTAATTTTATCATGTTGTCAAGATTGATCATTTGTTGGCCGTTTGTTCTATTTTATTTGCCATTAGCTACTTACATGTCATCAATTACCATCTTAATTTAGCAAAAGCTCTGTAATTTTATATGACTGAAGTCAGAAATATTGTCAAGGAAGCTTAAGATTACCCATGAGAGAGGGTGGCCGGGGGGGAAGGGAGAGAGAAGATGTTAGTGTTTTTTATTTTTTAAATGCCAAGTGTCACCACGTGGCAAATAAAATGGAATCAATAGTCAACTCTGATGATAAGATAAAATTGCACACTTTTGAAAGTTCCACAATGATATTGTTCCAATTAAAAGACAGAGTATTCGGTGCTCGTTTCAGAAAATTTCAACATCTTTGCCCCTTAACCCATCAATTTAAGCATAATCAATCAATCATGGAAAGTTGTCTTGATTTATAATTTTATTGAATAAATATCAAATGATAATATGATTATTAATAAATGAGCAATTGTTTCTTTCAATTGACACATTGCCAAACACTCCTTCCAGAATTATTTATAAGAAACACTTCATAGTTCCTGAGAGGTAGTATCATTTGCTTGCTAGCAATTTGAATTAATGGTTTTTTCAACGACCATCAATATCATACAAAACTCTACTACTTCCAAAATTGTTTTCCTATAAGTATCCGTGTTATGCATCAACCTAAACTAGTCAACATTTTATTCATTTACATGTAATCTATGAAGAGTTCTCTGGTTGTAATTGCTGCTGCAAATATTGCTGTTGCCAGCATTGAAGTTGAATGAGCCCACACTTCATACTTCTCTCTTCCACCTGCGAAATATGCAGTGTAAACAACATTAATAACACATAAACGATAAATCAAAAGAATACTCATATGCAACGAGTCACTTCCTTTAAGCCATTCTAAGATTATATACATATATCACAAGCTTTCAAATGAGAAAATCGTCAATGTTAGCCTTCTAGTTTTTCACCATGAAACACAGATTTATGTTGATGGAAAATTTAGTATAAATAGAGGCTTCTTTCACTTCTACCAATGGTGAAGAGAAGTGTTTTTCATGCTTTGATAAACTAAATCTTTAATTTAGATACTTACGGTTAACATTTTAATTTCAAATTTGTGCTAGAAAAAATGGCATACATAATCTTTTGTTACCTCAAGAAAAGACATGGTCTGGAAAAGATCATGGAACTCATCTAAGAGTAGCTTCTCTTGGGAAACAACTTCTGCGAGTTTTGATATTAATGTTGCAACCTCGTCAGCCTGTTGATGAAACAATGTCAATTTAAATCTTTATTACATAAATTCTAACTAGAAAGTGTTTCTTATAAATATGTCTGGACTTGATAACAAATTAGCAACACAACATGAACATCAATAGGATCTCCACATACCACACGTGGAAAACTAGTTAGCATTGACTTCATGGAAACTGTAAGTTCATATGCATGTTTGAGAGCAACAGATACTGACGGTATGTCAACCTGCAAGCATAAGAACTTAGTAAATCGTGCCTTAAAGTTTAGTATATAAACATTCTATTTTATAGTAAAAATTGAAGAATGAAACATTTAGAAGAGCATGTAAGTGTGTGTTATAATCGAGTCTTTATTGAACCTACCTCTGCGCCTTCTATTAGCGGTAATTTGCAGACAATAGAATGAAGGCAATCTTTGGTCACGGTAATGGCTGAGATGTGCTGTCTTTCCAAATCTCCCCATGCTTCTAATAGCTTAATCTGCACAAAAACAAGAAGACATGCATAGAGAAGAGTCTTACTTTTTAAATCATATTTTCTTTGGACAAATCTTTATAATTAGGCGAGCTGTAATACTCACTTGGGATTGTATTATAAAGTCAAGCTTCATCTCAAGCTTTTCCTTCTCATATTGCATCTTTTTTTGCATCACTGAACGTTGTAACTTCGTGATACCATTCCAAGCATTTAGTAAATTGCTCTAAAACACATTGAAATGAACACTAAACATTATTATACAGATTTGGGGGAAAAGACTACGAAGTTAATGCCAGTATTAGAAGTTAGATACATACTTCTGCTTGAAAAGAAAGGCTTTTATTCACAGCTTTAGCTTTAGCATTTGCATATCGCCACTGCATCAATCGATTATCCAGCAATCGAAGCTGATAAACAGTATCCGAAGTACTCAATCCCGTTAAAGTTGAATTTGGAGACGATTTCTTGCTCCTGAAGAAATCGAAACCCATGTTAAGAAATTTATCCACGCCTTTAACTGCATGCGAAGGACTTGTGGGAGGCTTCAAGCTTGAAAATGAAATGAGTTTCTCCTTGCTTTCCACAGACATCGGTGGCGATCCTGACCTCCCTGGTGATAGAGCCCATTGCGATTTTGAGCTTTTATATCCGGAGAGAGAATTTGCCCTCTTGATCGCATTTTTTATGGTGAATTTCTTTAAGAATGACGAGTCCTCTGATGACAATGGATGCTGAATGTTCGAATCCGAAGTACCTCTTCGGCTTCGTCTTGACACATGATTCATATACTTCGATGGAACTTCTATCCCTAATTTCTTGGAACTTAAATCAGAAGTACCTGAAGGGACATCGCTGTAGTCTGATTCAGAATCAAGAGTCGTAGTAAATGATTCCGATTTTCCATACAGAACATTTTCATCTACTGATAATCTTCCTGGAACAACACTAAAATCCTTAGAACTGGAATTTACGGACGAGGACGAATTTCCCGGAAAACCAATTTTTCCAGTGTACCTCGTAGATCCACCGATAGCAGCGGGTTGATGATTTTCCTTGGAGCTATTATTATTACTATTACTACTACGATCAATTTGATCATTCTCAAACCTCTTGAACACACTGCAACTCCTCTGCTTAGTGAGAGTAAAAACAGAGCCAGTTTTTTCAGATTTCTCATAACTTTTGCGATCAAGGAAGTCTCTGAGCCTATCATTACCAAGATGATCCGCGAGAGTAGCGCCAAGGTAGTTTTTCTTCACCGTAGAGGACGAAGAAGGCCAAAGCTGTCCTCGAAAAAGAGCCGGGTCCTCCATACTCCGATGCTTTCGGATCTCAGTAATGTCAGACCCCTGTTTGCGTCGAATCGGCGAGATAGCCCCTCCGGGAGACGAAAATTCAGCTTCAAACGATGTGGTTGAGGTGGGAGAGAGAAATCGTGAACTGACTTCACGTGTTTTGCCTTTACGGTGCTTGTACGATTGAGAAGAAATCGCTGAATCCTTTTCCCTCTTGGTTGAAGACATGATAAGAAGTTTGGGTGGAGTGAGAGAGAATGACGACAAGTGTGGAGTTATTGTTGTGAGAAGATGCTTTCAGGTTCATATTATCTGTGAGGAGACGGAGAGTGGTACAGAGGAAGTGATTGGTGAAAGCTCCGCCTCTTGGTGTGAGACGCCGGCCGTTGACGGGCGACAGGTTCAATGGGTGACTGCCACGTGTCCACAATATTTCGGAATTTAAACGGCCTTAATGTATGCTTCTTGTTTGGATTACAAATGGCTAGTTTAAATTGAATCATTGTTCGAATTACAGATATTGCATTCAACATGTTGGTTTCGTTTCGAGTCGAAAAGGCTGTTGACTCCAGCATGCCGGTAGTTCGGAATTAGAAATTATATTTATATGAAACAGAATGGAATGGTTATGATTGTGAATCATAACTCGCTCCTTTGTTGTGAGAAAATCTTGATTTTGGAATTTTGCGCGGAATCATATCGTGAAACTTTTAGAAGAAACATTACGATTATTATCCATTTAAGCCACGGAGGATAACAAACTTTTTTGAAACTACCAAAAATGGATGGACCCTTCAATTTTATTTTTTTGGGCCCGAAAGATGGACACTTCATTGAACCTTGCATATATAAGGCATGCAAACTATTTTTTAGTAACAAGTTTATTTTTCACTTTTAATGTCACATCAACAATAAGCTGAAATCATTCAAATAATGCAAGATTTCATTTTTAATACAATAAAAAAATTTTTTTTACTCTAAAATTATTCTATGCGAGAACAATTTCTTTAGAAACACAAACTAAATACATTTCATGTTGCACATTTAGGCAATTTTTTTTTTTTGCTGTGTGTGTTAACTCAATAAAAAAGCAATTATGGACGGTGAATTTTTTTTTCTTAAAAAAAAAAGGATGTGTATAGCTCAAGTCAAAACCCTGTACAAAACACAAGACTCACCTATCGTATTCTAGTTCTATCACTAAATGCATAAACTATCGGGATCAACAAATTCAGACGCACACAAACACACAATTTGGCAATTTGCGATTCAAGGAGGGGAAAATATGAACCACGTTACTTTGCGGGGGCAGGATACCACGAAACTCAAAACTTAAGTGAAAATCTCGCAAGAAATATCCAATCTCAAACTCCTATCTATTTCACCAGTCTCATTCAATTGAATAAACGTAATATTATCATCACTGCCTTTTAACCATGAAAATCCTTTCAGCATGTCAACATCTCGAACAGGTGCAACTTTCACTTTTAAATAAATAGCCACAATTTTATTTCTTTTAATTGATGGCACGAGAGCTACAAATATGTTTACGCCTTTGGAGCCAGACTGCCAATATGAAACTAGTATTGCAACTTTTGAGGAACCTGGAGAAATGTAGAAAGTTCCAATAAACAAGGGCAAGTAATGTAGGAGTAGCTCGCAATCCAGCTCGACGATTGGGACTATAACTAAAATTCCTTCCTAAGTTGATATGATCGAATGACAATTAATATCCATATGCTACAACAGAATATCAAGAATCAAATGAGTACTCCCATGTCACTACAAAAAATTGTACAAGCATTTCTTGGTTCAGGCTACAAAATTCAAACCTCAAAACCCGGCTTGTCTGTTCAAGGGGTCACCCAACCTTCTGGTTCCATGGTCGTTGAAAATCGCACAGCTGTAATAACAACAGAGAATAATCATTACCCAGCAGGGGCTTGTACGATTCCAGTCCTAGTCATGGACCAAGGAAGAACTTCCAAGTTCCTAATAAAGCGTGGTTATAAATCAATGAAAGTTGCATTTTTGCAATAAAGGATGAGAGTAATCGACATATTTCTCCCACATAGGCTTATACTTCTCAATTGCAATCTTCAGCCATGGTTTGGAGTTCCCATTGAAGTGCAGTACAGCTCCTTTCTCTACTAACTGCGGATCAACAGTAGTGTAGCCGAATCCCAATACATGCCAAAACGGATCTAAGGGTTCAGTTAATCCATAAAACGTCAACAGGCCAGGTGGCAAGGTACCAAGTTTCCATAATGTCCGGTCAACATTCTTTTCCTGCCAGTAGTGGTAGATGCCTGTGACGTTCCTTTTCCTCCATTCAACCAAATCAAATACATTCATCCCAAATGCCCATCCACACGCATCCGGATCAAAATGTGCTCGTATAAGAGGATGGGAGTAATTCAGGTATTTATGGTATCTATGAAATGTCTCCATGCATGTCTCAACAGCTCCGTTAACATTGCCATTCAAATCGATGGAGAAAAGTGGAGAGAGATCGTTCTGAACCACAACATCATCATCAAGAAACACCACCTTCTTTAGTGCAGGAAAAACTTCAGGAATATAAAACCTTAGGTGGTTGAGCATGGAGAGATATTTAGGGTTCCGAAACTTGATTGGCGTCTTGCCATCATCACTATTGCCAGAAAAGTAGTAGTTCTGTATTTCTGAGTCTTGGAGTTGCTTAAGAACTGGAACATATGAAGCATTTAACCAGCTGAAGTCTTCAAACTTCTGAACCTCAACAGTCACTCCACGGAAGTCGTTCATGGCAAACCATGCCTTCATCGCAGCATAATTTATTTCATCAGTGACGAGGTGGAAAACTACCATTTCAGGATGTTTAGAGTTTATTGCAGTTGAATTGACCACTACTGAAGTAGCAATGATGTTATCAGAGAACACGCAAAAGTGGTAAAGATTGTTGTCTTTTAGCTTCATCTCCACTTGCCTCTTTTCCATCAATTTCTTTTGCAGATTAAGGTTTCTGAACCATTCAGTTGTCAGCCGCACACCAAGGCAGTATAGGCTTTTTGGGACTTCTTCAGCAGCTATTTGTCCATATTTTGAACTCTTTTCAGACACAGAACTCGATTGTTCTTCAAGAGTTTGAATTTTTGCTTTCAGTCTCATGATCATTGTTGCACTGTCATAATGCAGCTGCTGGGCCTGGTATAGCATTAATGCCATATCACGAATAGCATGTTCTGATTCCATAGTTGTTAAAGGGGCACGCCTTGTAGCAGCCTTTGAGAGAAGAATCTTTGAATTGCGAATCTGGGCACTTAATTCCCAAGCAAATTGAAGATTGTTACTTTCTTTTGCTATGACAACAAAAGCTTTTGCTAAGGATATCTGGTCATTCAGTTGTCTGGTCACTGAGTTGGGGCTCAACATCTCTTCAGTAATATTAAGGCCTTCCAGAATCCTATCATGTTTGTACGTTCTCTGCATAACAGTGTTTAAGAAGTAATATGTAAACATAAGGATGATAAGGACTATAACTATTATCGCGCCCTCACTCAGGAACATAATGACCTTACACAGGAAGTAAATCTTATGCTTAGAATTTCATAATGATAACTTAAGCATTCCATGGAAGCAGCATTGTAACAATTTGAATCAAATCAAAGTTTTGTTTCATATGACCCTCATAATCTCTCCAGCCTAGTTTAACAATTTAATACAAAAGTTCAATCATCATAGGCAATATCATAGTAAATATAAAAGAAAATAATAATAAAATCCCACCGAAATATATAAATGACAATCAGATTTCTTGAAATACCATAATTCCTTTGAAATCCCTGGGTACCTTTCCGACATTAGTGATTTTAAATTAAATGACTAAATTGCCCCTTATTTAAAATAAAAATAACGGGTCTAACTCTATTTTTTTAATCACAACTTTTGTTTTGTGAATTGTAAAAATTGAATAAGAAATCACAACTTCTCAATGAAACTTCTTTTATGATTGATAAACAAGTTTTAAAAATAATCAGTCTTAATAACAACTTTTATTTAAGCAATCACATCTTTGATTCTATGAATTATAAAAAGTAAACAAGAAATCACAACTTCCACGTGAAATTTATTTTATTCTTAAAGTCAAAGTTCCAAAAATAATTGATCACAACTTTTATTATGTGAATTGTAAGAATTGAACAAGAAATCATAATTTCCCACATGCAATTTCTTTTATGATTGAAGTCTAGGTTTTAAAAATAACCAATTATAACTTTTGCTTAAACAATCACAACTTTTATTTTGTGAATTGCAAAAATTGAATAAAAAATTACAACTTTTCACATAAACCCATTATTTTTTATTTTAAACAAGGAGCAATTTAGTCATTTAACCTAAAATTATTAATGTCAGAAAAGTTTATAGGGATTTCAAAAGAATTATGGCATTTCGATGGGCTTGATTGTCATTTATATATTTCAATATGATTTTATTATCATTTTTCCTAAATATAATTACAAGGAATAGAGAGGTACTGATATTTTGGTATTTACATGACAACACTTTAAAGAGTTAAGGCAGTTACAACACAATCTCAAGTTTATTCTAGCTATCCCATAACAAGGTTCACCAATAGTCTGGTACTCTGGTTAGGCACACCTTATGCAGAAATATCACTGAAGTAATTTAGTCAAATTTGGATCAATTTCACATAGATATTTGTAAGTCATTGTTCGCTTGCCTGATATAAAATGATGACTTAAATGTATCAACTTTGAACAAAGATAATAATTTGACCTGGCAATATCAGCTTCAGCGAGACATTATGGACTAGTATATTAGGAACTAAAAAAGATATATTGTACGTCATTTTATACGTAAACATGTCCAGCAATTGAACAATGAAATCCAATCCAGCATAACAATGCAAATCTAAGCTAAAGAGCTAAGGCTGCAGAGAAGTAAAATCCAGTATAAATAGTATTGTTTCTATTATTCAAACCAGAATTTGATTCAACTCACTCCTCAATAATCCCTTTGAACTTTGAAGTCAAAACGTGGAATGGAAGGAAACAAAGAAACAGTGAGAAAATATATGACATGATTGAGAAGTGACAATTTCGTCACACAAATAAATGCATGATTCTCAGGAAAACAGGGTAGCGCAACTAATAAATTTTTGAAGAAGATGGAGAAAAAGAAACACGCATGCCATCTCATCAACAATCACCGTTCCTAGGTCTCAT